AATTATCTCTTGGTCTGAAATTATGTAACGGAATTTACCTTATGTGCTTTCAATCTGAATTACCACACCACTCCTCAATTTTTGCTTTCGAGGTTTTCTTCTTGATGTTACATCGTTCATATATCCGCTGGAAAACCTGGATTTGCTGGACACATATTTCTTAGTGGTTTCGCGCTTTTAATCTGCACGTAGAGGGAAAGCTCATGGAGTATTAAGTGAGTGATTTTTTTATTGATTATTTCACTTCTTCCTGTCGCCAAAAATAATAGTGACGGTTTAATATGATGCAAATGTTATGTTCTTTTCGATGAATATGCTTTCTAATGTTTTATTCATTATGATAATCGAAAACAGTTGTTGGACTAAGTATTCGTTGCCTGCTGTTATGTGTTCATTTTTTTTATTTATGGTCTATGAAATATTTCCTCCACTTATAACTACGCCAGAAAATCCTACAAATATTTTACATTCAACTGGAAAAGAACAAATTTGCATGTGATTTTGATAATATTCGGTAAACAAAGCCCTCAAAATGCATCGTTCATTAATCGCAATTGAGTTGTTGTTATCACCATACTCAATCACTTTACTATTATTTGATTAGGTGCAAGTCAAAACTTTGGAGGTATTTTTTCATAAAAGAAGTTTGATGCTGTCTTTGTTTGCCTGATTGAGCAGTAACTGAAGAATTTACTTGCCTAACAGATAAATAATCCCATTGTACCGTTTGTGTGAAGATTACTGGAAATTAAAGCATCTCAATTACCTTTACGACCTAATAAGACTGACTGAGTCATTGAATGAGATGAACATCTAAATTGCAGACTGAATTTTAATTATTTTTGTTCGCAATGAAGTGGGTGAAATAACATTTAAAAGTAACTTATTAAATCGTTGTTTCTTCGCTTGTAAGATAGACTTGTGACAACGGCAATGAAGTGAAGTTCCTTCATGCAATTTTTGTTTAACTATTTTTCCCTTGTGTCGGATAACTTCTGTTTGATATTTGCATGTTGAATTTCAAAACTGTCTCAGTTCATACCTACAAGTGGTGATTGTTTGATTAATATTTACAAAATATTCGGCAATGATCACATGCGTCTGACTGTTGATTGTTATGCTAATTACGCAATACTTCCGCAGCATACTAACTAACAAAACAGGTGAGAAAAAGACTGAATACCTTCATTTTGACCACAATACAATTTACGCTAAAATAATATGGATCGATAATGAAACTTAAGGAGCTTAGGACCCATAATGACAAACTGATTAGAATCTGAAATTACAGACATGAAATAATAACTGTGTATGCTCATCTTCCATATTCTGCAGCAAAAAATACCACTGTTCAAAATATCATAGTCATCTTAATGATATTCCTTTGCAAGGAAAACCAAGCTAAAATGACCCAGATTAGTTCAAATTATTCAGTGAAATCAGAATAGCACATTTAAGTGACCAGCTTTCTACTAATTTCCCTAAGCATTCTTACTTACACCTTGTGCTCCTGATTAATGAAAATAAAGAATATCGGGTGGTGGTGAATTCACCAAATCACAAAGTGGTTAGCTCCATCTATTAGATGACAGTTAGGTGGATGGATGACCCAGGACGGAAGGAAGATGGCATGAAATCGGAAAAGTTGTAAATGTTGTGAATACTGTTAAATATTGAACAGTATTGAACATGACTAATTTAAGGCAAATTTTGATATGATAATATAAACTATGTTTAGACAACTTTGATTAGAGCTGAGTGGCGCGCAAAACAGTGTGTTCATCAGAAATTGTAGGAACCATCACACTTTCCTAACATTCGATCAGGATAATTGATGATTATGTTTACTGGAAAAAAATGATTGCTGTTATGATCACAATAGCCAGTGGATGCTGGAGTTTCATGCGAAACGATTTATAGGGTGGGAAACTGTGGGTTATATTTTAGTGAATAATAATGTCGGCCAGCAGCTAGTCAATTCGTACACTGTTTTATTTGAATATGGTATACTTATTTGAAGCTGTTTATTTATTGAAGCTGTTCGCTGCTTAACCAACCTTTATCGATATCTTCCTACTTTGCCTTGTGTTCAGATTTATACGACTTGTTACTAATAAGATGTATGTTTATATTCTTTTAAATATATCATTCTCTTGTTTCCACAGCTGTTAGCTTTCATAGAACTAACTATATCTTGTTGAGCATGTTAACACTGTATTTTGTCTAGAGTAATTTTCACCTTGTGATTAAACTGTACTTGCTTTGCATGTTCCGCATTAGTTTCCCCTCTTTCTTGAGCCTTGTTTATGCCAACCATTTCTCTTTGTCCTGTGTGTTGGCGCTTTCCTTGCCTCTGATCGTCAACCATTTTGAAACAGAAATGCCGTTTAGTTTTTGACATGCCGTGACAGTGCACTTGACGGAATTTAGCCCGAATACCTCACTATTTTAGGTTCATAGTTGTTATTTATTATCTTTATGTTCTGAAGACAAACTCTACATCCTGGATTCTGCAAGTAACTCAAGCGATTGGTTTATTCATATCAGGAGAAGTCCACAGAGCCCTTTTAAAGTTTTATTAACTTTAAAAATATTGCTGGACACCACTCAGATGTTTATATGTTTCATTATATATTTTTGAATAACTTATCATGTGTTCTCATAATGTGTAAGAATCAAGGTTGTGAGATTATAAATTTTCAGTGTTACGTAAATTTTTTAGAGATCATAGAATTTGAGTCAGTTTAGAAGTAACTGTAGTCTCAAGCGACAGCTGGGGTGGAATAAGCTGTTCAATTCATTAAGTTATTTGACTCTATTTAGAGTGACATTACAAATCAACAATTCCAGTATACTCTGCAAGTCGAATAATGAAATCTATGTCAGACTCCTGATAAACTATCAGTATGAAAAGCTTATAATGCATGCACTTTTCAAGGAAAATATTTTCGCCTCAAACATTGTGTGAGTGTACATCAGCAAGCAGAGTGCCATTCAGCTACAACTTTGCTGGTATTTGTTTGGTGAACCCAGTGTTCTCTTATGTTAAACATTAAGGAAAATAAAAGCATGAATGGACTTTTGAGCTGCCAACCAAATATGTGATTCCACTAAGGTCAAACACTCAGGAACAGAGGAAACTCTGCACTGAAATTAAGTAAGTGCTGTGAGTAGGTCCAGTATGCAAAATCAATACGGAGAATAACAGACATTAATAGTGATAACTGGTGTATTGATCGCCTGTTTTATGACAGAGTCTAAAAGACACAGGGTTTTCGACTGAAATAGCTATACTACTAGTTATTAGATAGTAGACAATTTCTGTTTGAGACATCATTTTGAGCGAAATTGATGGAATCTGCGTTGCACGTATCCTTCATAAGATTTTGAAATTATTGAGATTTATAACTTAGGTAAGTGTCATCATTACCTGCTTAGAGCTGCATGGTCTATCAGGCAAGTTTGCACATTCATTTCAGGCAATAAAGTCAGATTCTGGAAAATCTTGTGAATAGAGTAACCATCTTTCTTCATGGACTTAACTGTAAGTAGTTATTTCCCGAAGATTCTAGTAATTATATATTCCCTGCTTCAGTATTTGTAGTTCAGCTGTATATCCGGAAGAACTTGTGCTCCAGGAGTGTTAAATAAATTTTATAGTGTATTGTAGGATTCTTTATGCTGTTAACGTTTTCATGATTTTTGATGACCTCTAGCTGATTAGTGAAAAGACCAGGTAAATTTCAATGGAAATCAGTAATTACGGTTATGGAGTGACGACACGGTGCACAAAATTCACTGTGACTTGCAAGCAAAGTAGTAGTAGTAGTAGTACTAGTAGTTGGGTGAATGATGACGATTACGTGACTGTTAAGAAATTGAAAGTCTGAATAGCACTACCATGGTGCCAGGTAATGACAGAACATATAAGTCCCTATATAAGGTTCTAAATAAGTCAACATTTAGGATGTCATTCAAACGTATCAGCTCACCATTCTAGCCGACGATCCGAATTACCCGACTACTCAACACCATATAAAGATTATTAATTCAAACAGATCTGCTAAATGAGTCGATCGAGATCAGTTGGTTATTCAGACGATAGGTTTGAGAATGATAAACGTATCTAGTCTAAGTAATGTGCCAAAACGTCGGTCGCCATTGCATATCTGCGTATTTGTGATAGCGCAATATGCTGAGGAAGAAGAAAAGTACTTAAAAGTAAAATATTTAGGCGGAGAGACGACTTAATCAGTGAACCTTCTTTGATTGAATCACTCATTACCTACCACATGTGATCAGAATGACTCAAGATGAGACAATAGTTACACTAATCACTAATCAAGAAGAAGCAAAATTATGTAGAGGTGATATTAGGCTATCACATAAGCTCCACCTCTATTTGTGTTGACACTGTGCACTCTTAGAATTTCTGAATTGTGGATTCTCATAACTAATGAACATTCTAATTTCTTCAAGTTGGCGATCGATCATGTGACTATACTAAGTTAAATTGAATGGCCCAGTAACTTATAATATCCTGAAAATTTCTACTCACTTACAAAGGTCACTTAATCTCCTATCTCAAAAAGTTCTTATTATAAAATAATCACGAGTCGTTGCAAAGGCTCCAGCAACGGCTGCAGTGTCAAATCAAAATATCCACTACAGTCCTACAGGAGGTCAATCGCGAGCCTGAATAGCTCAGTGGTAACGTCTCTGACTGCAGGACTGGGTGACGCGGGTTCGAATCTCAGAATGGACATCAGTTCCTTCAAGGTTGCAGATACTCCTTGCTGAAGAATGCCACCTGTCACGATACCTGGGTTCAAGGCTTCCTGCGTGTTGCCTTCACCAACTTATATAAAGATTAATTTTAAGATATTGCAAACATACTAAATAAGTATTTTTAGCACACTTCAAATAGGGGAAGATTGAGAGGAAGAAAAATATGAAGGTTTTACAAACCAATTATTTATATATATATATGTTGTTTGAGATCATTTTTTGCGTGTTATTTGTTTTGGGTCTGTAAATTTATGTACTATTTGAATTTGATGATTATTAGGCATCAGATGCGGCGTCTGTGTATTATTACTGTTATTCACAGGATTCGATGCAATATACTGATTTGACGTTGTCGGCCTAACACTGGCGGCAGCAGCAGCAGCAGCTTGATTTGGATAGGCTACAGAGACAACCAGTTTAGCTGGACCACCACGATGTGGTGGACAACTAACCGTTGGCGTTAAATGCGTTCCAACAGAAACAGGAATTTGCATTGGAACACTAGGATGAGAAGCGACTGAAGCAGGAATAGCATAGGTTGATGTTTGTGGTGTTGTACTCTGACCTAAAAGTAGGGTCACTGTATTCGGTACACCGACAGGATTTAATTTTGCATTCTCTGACGTAACATCTTGTGATAGTTTAGGGAAGACGTTTGCAATTGAAACAACAGGAAAATGGCATACTTCGAAAGCTGAAGAAGGTTGAGATATGTTTTGCATACCGGGGGAGACAGATGCATTGGCGATTGATGCAGTCAAAGGGTCTATTGGACGATTCATCTATAAGTAATGTCATACAAGCAAGAATCAGTACACGGGTATATAAGTAAACACAATTTATTACGGTATAATAAATAACAGAGTTGTTTTATTCCCCCTATACTAATCCAATTAGCGAATCACATTTGGACACAAGCCAACAATTTTACCCCAACCAGATATACCAACAATAAATGGGGAAGGTTTGAAAAAGAAAGATGTTTAGCGCGGTGAAGACGACACAGCATAGATTTATTTCGTCCATTAGATTCAAAAGAACAAAACACGAAGGAGAGTGGTGGTATCAGTCTCATTTAACAGTTCAACTTGTGATATTACCATCCAATCAACACATTAGTGCATTTTCGCCATTAATTTTAGACATTTGGAAAATTCCAAATTCTTTTTTAGTTCTTGCCTTCATAACAGTATACAACACCACTTCTTCTATAAGCCAATCGAAACTGGGTAAACATCCTGCTGATGTCACCCTCAACTGCGTTTATGAATTTACGTGCATTTGCGGGAGCAAGTACATTGCAAAGACGAAAAGAAGAGCTTCTATCCGGTTTTTTGAACATATTCCAAGAAACCTGTGCCTGAAAGGAAGCAAATATTCTCAGAGTGCAATTACCAAACATTTGTTGATACCTGACATCTCGTAGAGATTTTGAAGTCTTTCAAAATATTAAATAGACAAAGGACAGCAAATTTACTACGATTTACCGAAGCGATTGCAATCAAATGATTCAAACCAGACTTATGCATACAGAAAGAGAGTGTGATTAACCTCTCACTCCCTTGGTAACTGAATTTTGATTTTGATTACATTAATTAGTCATCTAATTCAATGATCTCAACTCACTGAACAAATCTTAATCTTATAAACTGTAACCGCTTTTGTTTTCTGAGTTGCTATGTGAACCTGTTAATTTTTTCTGTTTTCTGTCTTACCCCTCCCCCTCCTCTTTTCTACTTTGAAAGCGTATAAATTGATGATGAAAACTTAAACTAAAAATTTTAATGCTTACATTTTGGATGCCTCAATTTTATAGTATTTCTTCTCTACTGCCACTTAAACATTAAAGTATGATATTATCATCTATATAACCATTGTAATTTCAGGTAGGGGTGTGCAGCTGATGAGAACCTGTGAAATAGAATGACGATATCATTTTATACTGCAAATTTCGTCTCCCTTTCTTTGACGAAATTTATCAAGGGAACCAAATGTATGAAGTTCTGGCATTTAAGTCCAGTGATTTACAGTAATTATTATCAAGTACTCATTTTGTTTGCGGTACGGGTTTGCTCTATCACTTGCTATTTCATCCTAATTTGGGACATTTTATTAGTACTCACCCACCGGAGTTCGAACCCAGGACATTGGCTTAATAGCCTACGAGCACGCCTTGTAACCGGAAGATCCTGAGGTGAGTACCGATGAAGTACCCGCAACTAGAGCAAAACAGCTGTCCAGTACTACTAACAGGTTTTCCGATAGTTTTCTAACTGAGTTCAGCTCATAATGAAATCCTCTAACCAGAGAAGTGCTTTTACTGTCTGAAAATTATTTGACATTCATTCACGTCTAGTATTTCATCATAAAAGTCACATTATCATACTGCGCAACTTAATCAGAACGACATTTATTCATTTTACAGAGCCAAAGTAACACTGTTGATCACTTTAAACATTCTGCCTATTAGTCTTTTCGTATCGTCTCCAGTTGGAGACATTAAAATACTTATTGGAGACACGAACGCCAAACTGGGACCAGACAACACAGGAAAGGAACTCACCATGGGTAAAGAAGCTCTCAGAGAGATGAATGAAAATGGAGAACTCTACGCCGACTTCTGCGCCTTCAATGAACGAGTGATTGGTGGCAGCGTATACAAACACAAAGATATCCACAAGGCTACATGGATGTCACCAGATGGGTGAACCAAAAACCAAATTGACTTCATCTCAATCTCAAGGAAGTGGAGGCGCAGCCTACTGGACACAAAAGTAAAAAGAGGAGCAGACGTTGGCTCAGACCACTATCACGTACACGGGACAATCCAAATCAAACTAAAAGCTTTCAGAGAAGCAGATAGACTACAAGCCAAGTTCAACACTCAAAAGCTGAAGGACCCGGATACAAAGGACATCTTCACTGCAAGCATAAGGGAAAAAGCCGAGACACAAATCAACACTAGCGAAGAGGTCAGTGTCGAAAAGCACTGGGACAACTTGAAAACAGTGTGGAGTCAAACCTGCACGGAAATTCTGGACAGAAAGAAGAGACTAGACAAACCGTGGCTCACTACGGACACTTGGAAACTAGTAGAAGAGAGAGGGATGGTGAAACAAAAGATTCTCCAGTGCATCGACGAGCAACAAAAACAGGAGTTGAATGCAAGCTACAATACACTGAACAAATGAGTAAAGAAGAGTGCCAGGGAAGACAAAAGAAAATATTATGAAGCCATGGCAAGTGAAGCAGATTAAGCTGCAGACAAAGGAGATCTTGCAACACTCTACCAAGCAACTAGGTACCTATCGGGCAAAAGTTTGACACAAATTAAGCCGGTGAAGGATGACAACGGAAAGTCACTCACCAAAGAAGTGGAGCAAAAGAAACACTGGGCTGAGCACTTCAAAAGACTCTTAAATCGACCACCACCTACAATGCGCCCAACAATACCAACAACGGAGACAGAGCTACCAGTGAACACCAACCCCCCGACGAAATCAGAAGTCCTGAAGGCAATCAAGATGCAAAAAGCTGGGAAATCAGCAGGACCAGATGGAATCCCAGCAGAAGCATTGAAAATGGATTCAGAGGCAACAGCGGACATGATGACGCCACTACTGGAGAAGGTGTGGAAAGAGGGCAGGGTACCCGAGGATTGGAAGAAAGGCTACATATTCAAACTGCCAAAGAAAGGAGACTTAAGTCAATGTGAGAACTGGCGTGGCATTATGCTCCTGTCCATCCCAAGCAAAATACTAAGCCGCATCATCCTGGAGAGAACCAAACAAGCTCTGGATGAAATACTTCGACCGGAACAAGCTGGATTCAGAAGAAACAAGTCATGTATTGATCGAATCGCCGCACTACGGATCATCATTGAACAAAGCTTTGAATGGCAGTCACCTCTCTATCTATTATCCATCTATCTCTCTATTTCTATCGGGAAAGCAAGACAAGCTTTCATTACTCTCAAGTCTGTTTGGAGGTCAACAGCACTCAGCATGAAAATGAAAATAAGATCCGGATTTTCAACTCCAATGTGAAGTCAGTGCTACTATACGGATTAGAGACTTGACGCGTCATAAAGAGCACCTCAAACGGATCCATTCAGTTAGATAGCACGTATACGACTAACTACTGGGATCTAATCAAGCAGGAATTTTCCCACTCTGGCACTCAAACTTGAACGGACTACTGGAAGAATCCCTTGAAAACTGTACGGTGAAGTTTGCAGATTCACTACGCTGGCCAGATAGGGGGTTAAGTGAATAAGAACACTTGAGTTTTGAATGCATCTCTCAGGAATACAACTTACATTCATGTCTCCAGATGCAAAAGTTCTGTCTGTTGAAGCCTGTTATCCTACTTGGTTAAGAGCCCTGACGTTGAATGCTCTAGTATTAAGCTGATAACTTGGTTTTAAGAGACGATCAGCAGTGTTTTTCTAGCTCTGATTGTTAAAAGAGGAAAAGATTGTGATACTTATCAATGGCTTCCCATAATCTCCGCTTACACCCGCAACCAACTTCACCTGGAAATAAGTAACGGATCAGTTCTATAAAAAAGCTCTCTTGTTTGCTGTTTAAAGCAAAGATCTCAAATATAGGTATTCTAGCAGTTACCATCAGTGCTCAAATAGAGCCTATGTTACAAATGGAAAATATGTTGAGGACATCTATGGAGTCCTGACGTGACAAAGCTGTGCTCTGAGAATGTATATAACACTAATCAAGGCACCCTACTTGAATTTATGAGGTTGTGTAAAATCTTTTGGAAAGTTGTCATCTGAGGTGATGACGATCACTTATGCTCAATGTCTCCACTTTTATTCAGTTTCATCGTAGATGTACTAATGAAGATGTCTCTGATTTTGCTTCGGTGACTTGAGGGTTGCCTTGATCAGTAGAGTGAAAAATGTGTGATAATAAACAAAGACGATATTATTATTATTTCCTTTAAATCCTAGAACATAGGGCTTCAGCCGCACGTCTCTATTGCGTTCATCAGTCAATGAAATCCATGACATTTAGTTTAAGTTAGACAATGTAGGGAAGTGTAGACTTCCTGACTGACTGGTTGGGGCCCTCAGGAGAGTAATAACCAATGGAGGCTGGAAAGAATTGGTGATGCGGCTCACAATCGTTCTTATTGATGGAGCAGATGCATTCACTCTCTATGATTAATAATATCCAACAAAACTCTCCTCCTCTTCCCTCACTCACACTTCTGTTTATTATCTCTCTTCTCTTGCTTTGTGTGCTTGCTACATGGAGGGAGTGTGGTAACTCGAACTGTTGCACATCTATGCAAAATTCTATGTTGGAACCAGTCAGTCAGTGGATTATTATTATTATTATGTTAAACACTCGATTGTCAACCACTTGTTTACAAGTTAGAATCCTGCACCCCCCACCCCAACCCCTATTGACCTTTGATCAGTCAAGAATAATATTATTTATTCTTACACAAAAGTCATGACTCATTGTTAAGCGTATTTATTAACATGAGTGTTTCAACTTATTCAATAACAACGACAAGAGACTGCTTATTAAGTGGTCAATCTAGATTGGAAAAAAATTTAATGAGATTTCTAGTAGATCTGTGATGATTTTAAAACTGTGATCCTATCCCATCCTATTGTGTGGTTGTGTGTAACTGCATGTAGTGCTATAGCTGAAGTATTCCCTAAATTTCTTATCTTATTATTAGGGTCAAACAGTCTAGTTTTCGCTGCCAGGTTTTTATGCTCGGTTTGTCTGACTGCTCCTGTTCTACTAGTTTGACCTATGTATTTGATCTGATCTGACAATCATCTCAGGCAGGGTATTAGATAAACTATATTGTTTTGTTTCAAAGGCTCTACAGGATCCTTTAACCGACAAAGCTTGTTTCTAATTGAGTTTGTGGATTTGAATGCAAGCCACTTTTATTCCTGCCTTGTTAAGAATTCTGCGTACGGTTTCCGAGGTTCCTTCCTTGTATGGAATTACTACTGATGATTTGGATTCCTTACGGTTGGTGTCGTCATTATTATTACTATTGAGATCTATTGTTTGGACAGAATTGCAGCAGTTCAATTCGTCATATTTCATACAGCGCACTAAGGTAAAAATGAAAAGAGACTCCAAATAACTGTAATCAGCATAAATATGCGTGAGAAAGAATAGTAACCTGGAAAACATGAGCGCTTAATGTTTCTGGGATGCATCTGCTCCAATGGGAAGGATTTTGAATCACACAACCAACAGTCTCCTCCAACCGTTGACTAATAGCGTCTACACATGCCTCCGTGGCTTGCTCAAACCAACAGCCGATGATTTCATGGACTGATTCCAGATTTTAGACTGACTACCCCTGATTCTATTACAGAATAATTCCACGTCAGCTATCATTAATCGTTGAGAAAGACGATGGTTCAGCATGAGAGTAACGATGAAATGCTACGCTACCAGAGTGATTATGATATGACAACAACAAAAAATAACAACACACTATGAAGGTTAGAAATATAGAAAAATGCGAGAATTAGCCTACCTCAGATAGAAAATTATTTTCAAACAACTGGTGTTGTTCAGCAGCGACTGTAGCTGCCGCAGCCGCTGCAGCACTTGTCATTGTTACAGCTTCTTCAGTTGACAAACAGCCACTGAGTTCAGTTTCCTCCTCCTCCTCCTCCTCATCATCATCCTCATCCTCATCCTCATCATCGTCATCATCATCATGAACAATAACAGACGAAGACATTTGATCTGTAGTAGTACTCAGCCGAAGATTTCTACACTGATCAATACACCGAAGTGAGGGGCTAGAGGTTGATGATGATGATGCCGGCGTCCCACTGGATGATGATGATGATAATGATGATCCTGATTGTAATTGAGGATCAACTTTATTTTTCAACTTTGTTAGACGGAAGAAATTAGCGACACCAGTTACTGCAGCTGTAGCCGCGACGGCAGCTGCAGCTGCGGCTTTTGCAGCTGACGCTATTGTTGTTATTACACTAAAGAAATAAGAAACAAAAAATAATTACTTATTCATCGCTAAGAGACGGAGAAAGGTAAAGAGTATCAGTGTAAAATTCAGCTTCACAATCTACTTACACTTTACAAGTACATCTGATTCACAGACCCAACGTGTTACTAAAAGCATTCTCAACAGGCTACCACAGACTTATCCCGCCCGATCGATGGATACCTGCTATCTTGACGTGGTGACTGCGCTTGCATATCGCAATGACCCAACAAGCTACACTGGCTGGAACTAATTTTCCTGAAGGTCCTACCAGGCTAGGAAAGTTGTTAGGATAGAGATTAGACTAAAAGCAGTTATCAGCACAGTGTAGGAAAATTTTACACTATGCTGGGGGTCTGTGAGCGAAGTCGTAATGCTGAAGAACAGGAATGTAACAGCAGTGAGGTGTTCCCCTCAGATGACCAGCATACCAGCTATGCTGTCTCAACACTGTGGAGAGAGGGGGTTAGGAAAGGTTAACTTGATTAATATGGTATCTAAAGTTCCAGGCTCAAATAATAATGCGTAGACTAAGTGGTGCTCGGGAGAAGCAAACACGAGAGAACCAGGCAGGGGGTGTATTGATCATATCTTCACTCTTCGACAGATTCTGGAATATAGGCATTCTTACCGGCGTCCAACAATCGTCATATTTCTTGACCTAAAGGCGGTGTTTGATTCTGTCAACCGAGAGGTACTATGGCGACGTTTGGCTGTAAAAGGAATGCCGAGAAAATACATTGCACTGATCAAGGCACTCTACTCGAAGTCATGCAGTCAACCAGGTGAGAGCTTACGGTGAGTTGTCATCAGAAGTGATGACAACCAGCGGTGTCCATCAGAGATGCCAACTCACTAACCCCATTTCTATTCAATTTCATTATACATGTACTAATGGAATTAACCCTAACTGTGGAGACTTCAACGACTCAGGGATTGACTTGTTACCAGGGAATAATCTCGTTGACTTAGAATATGCAGGTGGTATAGTCCTCTCTCCTACGTGAAGACGCTGACAAAATGCAGTCTTCTGAACACCTTGAGGCTAACAATCTGCGAATGTTTAACATGCGATTCGCTACCGCCAAATGTAAGATGCTGCTACAGTACTGGACTACACTGACTCCTAGCTTAGAAATAGGGAGTGAAGTGGTAGAGCATCTTGACGACTTCATTTATTTTGGAAGTTGCATCAGCTAACGCCAGCGGTTTGATCCCTGATGAAATCTCTGCATATGCCAGTTTACGCCGTCTCTGGCGTAGACGTGATATCCGGCTTGCTGTCAACCAAAGGGCGTATGTACTGCTGAGTAATCCGCCCTTTCCTCCTTTGTGGCTGGTTGTGAGGCATAGCCATTGGAAGTGAAAGACATGAAAATGCCAGCTAGCTGTCTTTGATCATAGGTTTCTGCGTTTATCTCCCGTGTGTGTTAAGTGGTACAATAAGATGAACAATATTGAGGTTAGATATCGAGTGTTACTCAAGAAGCGGAAATCAATAGATGAGGCTATGAAGTTACATCGATTGAGATGGTTAGGACATGTGTTACGCAGGCCTAGCCATCGCCTTGCTCAACTGACGGGTAATGTTAGCTGACATAGGATGGATCAGGTTGGAAAAGAGACAGCTAGTGTTGGTCAAACCAAAACACGGCTTCATCAGTCAAGGAAATCTGCAACAGTTAGTTTAAGCCGGCAGCCACGTAGGGAGGTGTAGACTTCCTGACTGGTTGGGGTCATCGGGATGGTAAAAACCAATGGCTGGAGATAACTGGTGATATGGCTGAAAATCTTTCTCAATGGCGCAGATGCATCCATTCCTTGTGACTTATAATACCCAATAAAAACCATATGGTTCTTGGATATTACTATTCTTTTTGCCTCATATCTCTGTTTACTGTCTCTATTTTGCATTTTTTCTGCTTTCTTCTGTTGCTTTGTGTGCTACATGAAGGGAGTGTAGCGACTCGAACTGCCGCACTTCGGTACTAAGTTCTATGTTGAAAGCAGTCAATCAGTCAGTCAGACTACAGACTTTCATCAACAGCTGCCTTCGCTAACTCCATAATAAAGATAGGATAACCAGAAAAGATTAGGGGCAAGGAATGAACCATCTATTGCCAAATATATATGAAGAATGAAATGGTAATGTATTGGATACATTGCTGAGGGAACTTCCGTTCCCCTCGCTCTCACAGATTCCTAACACTTCCACCCTATATCTTCGCAATTATTTTAAAATTTTCTCCGTCCTACCAAACTTCTGCCTGATGCGGCGATTTCATATCCCTATGCTTACTTTTGCTTTCATTGAAAGAAGACATTTCGGACGACTGGGCTTTCGAAAGTTTCAAGTTTGCCCGCGGATTGATAGCATTGGGAGACCCATTGAAAACAACAAGGAAGTCAGCTTAGTTTCGGACTCATTGACAGTACGCACCCGCCACGAGGGTTCGAGCCCAGGTCCTTTTGGCTACAAAGCGAGTTCGTAGACCATTCACAGCCACTGGAATCCGAATCGAAAGTATTCACCAGTCAACAGTAAAAATAAGAGCTACCGATGTTTACAGTTATTGGTGCTTCTAAAGACATAGCAATGGAACGCCATTACACACACACACACACACCTGTATCTACCTCTTACAGCGTCTGTGAAATAAACAGACAATTATTTAGGTGTGGATTTATTAGCAGACCAAGCTTCGTTCTATGAATCATTATACGATAGTGGGTTATATCCATTGAATGCTGAGCAGGCAGATTGCTAACTTCACCCCTATGGATTGTAGATTGCTTGAGTATAGTAACGGACCTTCACAAATAAAACTTACATATTTAAAACCCTTAATTATAAGAAATTGTTGTCCAACATGATGATGATGATGATATAAACACCTCAAAGTGTAGATAGAGATACATAAGTCTGCAAAGAGAGATGCAACATTCAGTATGCAGTCAATTCAACGATAGAATGCCCAACCAATCACGCTGACTGACTGACTGACTGATTTCAACATAGAAATCTGCACAGAAGTGCTGCAGTACATCAAGTTGCCACACTCCATGAAGCACACAAAAGAGGACAAAAGAGATTTTTTGAAAAAATGAAAATTAGCAGAAATTTGAGAGAGAGAGAGAGAGAAAAGAACAGTAAGATAAAAAGACAAAAATAGACATATCACCAATAGCCTCCAGCCTTCATTGGTGTTTAGCATCCTGGGCACCACAACCAGTCAGTCAGGAAGTCTACATCTTCCTACACCGCTCAATTTAACCTGTTATGGATTCCATTGACTGATGAAGTCATGTTTTCGTTTGACCACCACTAGCTATTTTCCAACCTGATTCTATATCAACTAAAATGGCCAGTCGAAGAAGGCAATAATTAGAGGCATACGTAACACGTGTCTCCTAGGCATCTCGATCGAAGTCGCTTCACACCAACCACACACGCAATCTGGGGTTCGATCCCCCAACCAGCGCACTCCTACATCTCAACTACCCAGTAGCAAGCTCAGAAAAGGAAGGTTTGGGCGTGTGTGAGATCTGGTTGTGAACAAGCCGAAATTGTAAACAACAATTTACGTGAGGGTTACATCCGGAATCGGGGTCATGAGAAAAACAATAACCTTGAGGAACTTAAAAAACAATCACAGCAGACTTAACGTGTGCAAATACGATTCGCAGATATATGGCCTTACTTTCTAAGAAACGACCATAGAGCAATGACAGAATAGCCTTCAGCGAGAAAACAACCAATCAGAAGAAGTTGCTTTTCCGCTGACAATGATGTACATATAAATCTATAAATATCTGTTGATTTTCTCAATAAACGATCTGTTGCCTGACTTCCTGTCTTCTGTCGTTACAGGCGTGGAGTTAGCAACAACACTGCTATTAAATCTTCAAACCTCAAATTTTGGGTCTCCTGTGTTGCAATCAGAATTCAAGGCATGAAATTTCAACAACAACAAAAACCACATCCATAACTCAAATAAAATAAAATGCATTAACATTTTCATCATAACCAAGAGAAACATTACCTGGACCAATTGCTTGAATCTGAGGTAATTGCATCTTGAAGAGAATGTGGATTATTATCCAATAAGGTATTTGTACACTTACAACGATCTGATGACGATGAAGAAGTGTTGACAGTATTCGATTGAACATTATTTTGATCCATAGAATTATTATTATTATTATTACTATTATTACTAACGCCTACACCACCACCACCACTACCGCCATGTTCGTTTTGATGATCATCGTTTGAACTTTTCTCATCAACTGTAGAAATTTGTTGTTGTTGTTGCTGCTGCTGCTGCTGCGGGCAACGGCTGATAACTGTAGTAGCATCAGAGTCACATTTATTGCTAACAGAACAGTTATTATGTCTAGATGAGTTGGGTAATAACGATGCTCCGGCATACGAAAATGATGCTGCTGCTGCTGCTGATGATGATGATGATGACGACGCCGACGCCGATGATAACGTCGACGACGATTGAACAGCATGCACAATATCTTTTTCATTACAACCAATTAAATTTCCAAGCATTGCAGCAACTGGTGATGGAGCTGAATTACCAACACCTGCTGCACCACTAGCTGCAACTGCTGCAGCAGCAGCCATTGGTTGAGAGAAAATAGCGCCTACAACACGCGTGAAAGTTGGATACAATACAGAAATGTTTACAAATACCTTGGATATATATATATATATATTAATAAAGAATAGATTATTTGAAACAGGACAGAAATTGGTGACAAACCTTCAATTGGGGAATCACGCAATGGAACTGATTATGCCTACTTCAAAGAGAATTTAGATGTGAAGTATAAAGGAAAAGATCATTATATTATTATTATTACTATTACTATTGGGTTCCGAGTGGAACAAAAGTGGACTACAAAAGCACATTGGCATTCCACTCATTTTTCTGAAGTCTTCTCTAGCTGGCTTCAGAGGAGTGTTCATAAGTAGTTATCCCCTGGTCAAATGATCTCCACTTCACGCTACCTTCAGATTACTTGAATATCAATGAGATGCTCACTGGCGACTTGCCCTATTCAGGTAGGTAGTTACCTGGGGTTCTACTGAGAAGTCGTGACCAGTAGGGTGCAGCAGGTCGGGTGTGAGGACAAATACTCGCCGAAGACATTGGCTACGGGACGCGCTATGTCGTGAATTGGCAGAAGTTAGAATTCATGGGCCATTGGATCGGGTCCCAGTGGCTTAATGGTATACGAGCTCGCCTTGTAACCAGAAGGTCCTGGGTTCGAATCCCGGTGGGTGCGTACTGTGAAGAGCCCCAAACTAGGACGAAACAGCTGTCCAGCACTCCCAGGATTTCCAATGTTTCTCTAACTAATGTCAGCTCATGATGAAAATCGTGCAACCAATCTAATCCCTACAAACCAACACTTAAACATTAACTGATTGCCTGTTACTCATTGATATAAGAGTGATTCGTTTTTTATTTCTCCAAAGCTTAGACAGTAATCTGTATTTGAATGTAAAGTGATGGACAAAGTGAAATTCTGTTTGGCACTGTAAATGCATCATGGTCTCTCGTTAAATCCCTTAATTCCATGGTGTTCTCGTGAGTACTGAAGCCTTCTTTATTGCACATGGTTCAAAATATTTCGGAATGCTTCTTCATGATAGGTGGAAATCGGTTGTGTAAGTAATAAACATCAGGCAGATGTATGCAGCTCATGTTGGTCTATAGTGAGAACATGTGACTCACGTCGGTTACTTTTCCAGAAAGACCTACACAGAAAAGATGTTGAATACAAGGTTTTAATAACTAAGTACTGTGTTTTCCTCTTTCATGTGTAAGTCTCCATGATGAACTGTGGTGTTTTTAGCAACAGATGCATATTAACTGTGGTTGAACATCTACTTTCTAAGAACAGCGACGTATACGCTTATCACAGCAACGATAAATATTCAAAGAATCTAAACCAAAATCTTCTCTGACTATTCTGTAAAAGTTTGAAGTAAACAGAGACTAGTTCAACCGCTTGAAAACGTTCCTGTCAAATGCACTGAATGCATAAAATGAAGTGAGATTGATGGATGGATGGATTGGGGGATGTAAAAAGTGAAGCTTCACCGAAGGAAATTAACTACGATTACTTCTCCTTTATACTTCTGATTTGACCTGGACATGAGGTTCGTCTTATTTTATGCTCTGTTGGTGTTTTACAGTTCACTTCTACATTCCATTGTTGCTTTGATACACGTAACTCAATGGTCACATACTCTGACATGTTATTTATCAGCCTGTGGGCTGTGAATTCAATCTCGTAATCATCCTGAATAGTGAGTGCACTTCTGAAATGTTTATACATTTAACGGAACTACATTTCCAAGTCTAATAGCTTCGAATTAAATAATAATGGAATATAATTAGCTTAAAATTTATAATGAAGCTTTATGAATCCCATTGTGACATTTTTCGGAAGGTGAAGAGTCTGAAAGTTCTCTGAAATGTTCTTTGTACATATTTATCAAGTTTCTTATGCCATTAATATAGAGAACAATAAGTTGGTCCCAGAATCCAAACTCACCTTGGTACATAGCATCAGGAAGTGTACGACAAGACATCGATCTTCTTGGACTTGGTTTAAAACTGTTCGGAGAGTTGGCTAAAGACTTTTTGTGCCTAACTTCCTCAAGTCTTTGATTTATAAAGCTTCGAAGCTCTCGTATCTCAAAGAAATCATAATCAAATAGGCAGAAGTTATAAACGTCAAATACCAAATCAAATGAACGGTTAATGTAAATATTAGAAGAATAAGGATTATTCTGAGCATTCAACAAACACGGTAACTAGACAGGTTTTGAATATTCGTCATAAAGATAGATATTCTGTTAAAATAATAACTGTCAAGATACTGTCATAACGTAGTACGATAGAACTAATCCTGAAGTTTCAGTTGGGCGCACTTCCTTCGATACGTCATCTATGCTTCAGCTTAGACGTCTTATAACGTCAATGTCGAAGTATTTGAATTCCAACGGTTCAATACTGTGTTTTCGAAACCCAGATTTCTGATATATTGTTCATCTTATGGACATGTGCAGCTGTCAGAAATTTAAGGGCAGAATTTAATGTAACTATGGAATATTGCATTTCCTTGTGCGTTGGTGACACAGCGGTTAGGACGCTTGCCGACCATGGACATGCTGCAGGGTTCGATCCCCGGCCGACACACTCCTTTACCTTGCTAAGCCAGTAATAAACCTGATAAACAGGAAAGGTTCTGCATGAGGCTAGCATCTCCATCCTGTAAAAATAAACACTGCCACCGAAACTTCAAGCCTCTAGCTTGAAGCCCTATTTTCCACTGGGAACGAGAAGGAATAAAATAATAATAATACGAATTAATAAAAAAATGCATTGCCTATTAGTTTTATACTACTGAACTTTCAAAGAGGTAACTTCTAGACGTTGTCGTCCTCAATTATAGTGTATTATCACATGCCATTCCATATCATCGTGCCTTCTCACTATATATATATATATATATATACATATACATATGCATATATATATGTATATATAGTATTCAGTTCAAACTTTATTGTTACCTACCCTTTTTGAAACTCCTGAGAACGGTGTCGGATGTAATTAGAACTTATTTTACGAATATGATATAATAAGGCATCTGAACGCAACACCAGAAGTCATACATGGTCTTATGATGAGTGTAAGCTTTACAGGTACAACTTGATAGTAAGAGACAACAGAGATCCATACTGAGATTTTTCGGTGGGTGCGTACTGATCAAGAGTCCCAAACTAGAACGAAACAGATGTCCAGTACTCCCAGGTTTTACAGTGGTTCTCTAACTGATATCAGCTCATAATGAACTCCTCCATCCAATTTTCAGTTTAATTAATTCGGTAATGAAACCAACTGTGACTGGTACACTGAAGGAAGGTAAACATTTCCCATAACGACATTAAGAATAGAACACCTTAAGATTCTGTTCTTGACTCGGAGAAAACGTCACCTGAATATGAGTACTGAAAAGTTTAATGTATCACTGATTTATTTTCTATTTACCTAATTTCTTTTGTATTATTCATTTATTTATCTAACGGTCGATCAGTTAAACAACTTATCGAGTGTTTATTTCAGTAGGCGCATATGATGCTTGGCAATCTAATGAGTGACTGGGTGAGTTAATTAATAAATGAAAAAAGAGCAGAATGACTAATTGAACAACACAAAACTTTGCTCGCATAAGATACAAGAAAAAAGAGGGATAGTAAATCTATAGTGGACAGAAACGAATGGTAGAGAATAGTTGAATGAATATTTGTTGTCGACTTTTATGATGTCGAAGTTAACAAAGCCAGTACAAACGTAGAATCATTAGCAATTTTAGGACCTTTTCACAGAAAGCTTCCTACCGATGATTCTTAGCACTTCACGAACCCTAGCCGGACAATCTACAATCCTTCACCCGGGTCAAACCAAAAGTTAAAGTCTTCATGGACTAGTGACGCGTTTTGTTCTGATCAATTCAGACTAGTCAATAGCCTGATCTTATTTCAGCTAACATAATTTTTCATAGATCATGGCTCGACATATGTAACACAACTTCTCGCCATCTCCTAGTCTTAAAACGTCATCAGCTGACTCCCCATTCCCACCAAAAGCTCTACAACTAACCTGATTACTTCTTATCTTGTTTTTATATCTAACCTGGACAAATGAACAAAACACCTGTGATAAGAAGCTGCCAACACTTTTTGAAATTCTCTTTTCAACAGTCTCGTAAAGTTGGACTCAATGGACTACTTCATGGTAAATACACCTTTTGAATGGTGGCCAGAAATTCATCCTAAACCAAAAAACTAACTTAAGTTGGAAAATGATAAATAGCTCTTTATATTCATTTTAACGTTTCGTTAGCAATGAGTGCATTAGGGCTAGTATAACTTCCAAGTTTAGTGAATTCATCAAAGCATTATATCATTTAACTCACTGCCCTCAAACCAGTAGTCAGTACAGACCAGTTCTACAGCATCACATGGCAGTCTACCAAACAAGGCAAAGGCTATTACTTTCAAATTACACTACTGTTATGTAAAACTTTCCACAGAGAGTTCAGGTATGTATTATTCCTGATATCAGGAAGAAAGATGCAGTAACTCAAAAAGACACTCCTACAAATATATATCAGGGTCACAAAAAACGGGTTCATTGTGGTTATCAGGCTAAATTTGAATTTTATATAATAGTTTGAATTTTAACCTAATCTTATTGGAGAAAAGAAATTTAGAAATATTCAAAACTTCCAAATGCCCAGAATTCGGTTTTATTAAGGTATCATTTTTAACACCTGGTTTCTATTTGTTTCAATCTCAGAGTGCAATAGATTTTTGATCTAAAAATAGAGGGTATTAACAGTGGTTTTGTTACAGTCTTTACGACACCTCTCATTCCCGTCCTGACGTCCTTTAGCTCTCCAATAACATTTAAAAAAAAGCATTCTCATGAAAATAACCTTCATAATTTCCGACGTTTTAAGTTGCCCAATTCGATCCACCTTATTTACCACGGTATCTCTTAAATCTCGAATCATAGTGTCCTGTATAGAAGAGAAAACTTAATATTGAGCACTTAGTGACCATTCAGTACTAGGTTTTCGTAGTAGTGCAACCAGCACTGTATTTCGATACGCAGAGCTGGTAAGATTTCACCAATCTAACTAATAACTTTGTTGATAAACTGAGTGTCTGAATATTGGAGAAAAAGGGTATAAGAAGCAGATTCTAGGACAGAGAATTAATTTCTTTTGGCGAAAGCAGAGACTTTTTAACTCAACAAATTATTGCAGCAAATTTTGTCATGCAGGTGTCCGTGAATTGTTCATAAAATTTTCCATGGTACTACTTACTACAAGAAACAGTGACGCGTGCATTTCACGTACCACTTGAAGTCCAGTTAAATGGTGCTTAAAATTCCAATAGTTTCTCCACTGACTAATAAACATGATTTATTCTACCATCACAAGTTCACATATATATTTAACTAACTTATCAATGAAGAGCATTGTGTGCTGTCACTGCTTACACGTTATAAAACTGTTTACACTAATACATTTTTAGACATACCTTTAATCCACCTCTGCTAATTTCCGCTGTAACCAAATTGGTAAAATTCGAGTCTTACAGAGTACATTGTGACAAGGCAAAAGACAGATAGCGGAACAAATTAACTGCACGCACGCTTGAAACTCAATTGAACTAACTTCGAATCTCCATCAGTTCTGATTAAATCATCACCTTTCCTTAGGACTCGAGTTCTTTCCAATCCTCTAGATAAGTCGGTCTCACTATCACTCATTTCAAATGAATTTATTTCTTCTAAAACATTCACAGGTGTATTTGTATCTGGAGAAATTATTTGTCTTCTCTCACTAGAACTCGACTTTTTTAGAGGTATTGGTGAATTCTGCATCGCTGATTTCCGATCTTCTCTGTCTATGCCATTGTTACTATTGAAAGTTGCTGATTTCTGTTTTGCAGACGCTAATTCTTGTCTAACCATGCGTTCTGTTTCTATTAATCGCTTCGGTCGAAGATCATAGTTTGAGGAGCTTGTGTTCTGACCTGTTTCGAGAGATACATTATAATTTGTATCCGTTTCTAGTGTTTTCATACGAACACATGGTGACGGTAATCTTCTAGAACGGGGTACGCTCTTCTGATTTGTCGCAATCTGTAATTTGGACTCATTTAGATTGATGAACACATTATTAGAATCTAACGTCATGAGTGTTTTATCGTCTTGATTTGAACATGGTAGTGTTTTTTCACGTGAATGGTTACGCAGTGATCTTGACTTACGCTTTATTGGTGAATTTGTCTTTGTTAAAGATGTTGACATTAGATCAGGAAAATGCTGACAGTTTGGAATGATGTTACATCGAACATCATTACGGGAAACTAAGCTCAGATAGTTGATTCCACTTTCGAAAGTTCTAGGGTGGTTGTGATATTCAGCGTTAATTTCCGGTGTTAAGTATTCATTAATTCTAGTAAATGGCAATATAAATGACTGTACAGATCCGGTGAAGACTGAACCAGTTAGATCTTCTTCTTCAGTAGACTTTTCACGGCCTGGAGGGTCTGAATTTTCGCGAGCCCATCTTTGCGAATCTGTTGTCGTCCATTTCGCCAGTTGATTACGTGACATTTTTGTTCTATCCACACTTTGAATTCGTTGCCGAAGCATATTGGATGATGCCGAAGAATTCTGTTGCTCAGTGACTTCATTCATGTTCGTATTTTGTCTTTCACTACACGAGCTATTTTGTTTCTCCTCACTGGCATCATTATCCTTACAGTCAATGTGCAGTTTAGCACTACGCTCTGGTTCAGATCTTGTTAGTAGACTTGAAAGCAATGGTTCGTAGTGAGATTTCGTATAAGAATAGAAATTTGGATAAAATCTTTCCATTGTACAGATTATTTTTACTTGAACAGCTCAAAATGCCTCAATGGGATACGGATAATTATGTAATAAATTCCACTTCAGAGATAACTAATTAATTAATGTGACACTCCCTTGATTACTGTTCTTTCAAGTGAGACAGAAAATGTGTGCAAAGACAAAAGTGTATTTATATGTGTGTGTTTGTGTGACTCGGTGTGGCCATTCACATTATTTCCTTAACAAATTCCCTTTGCAACCATGACTTATCCAATCAGTAAACAGTCTGTTCCATTGGTCAGACTATCTTTTTTCACAGATCTAGGTTTTTCCTCTCCATTTCTCTTTTTTTAAAGTGCATAATCAGGCGTAACATTAAACGATTTTATATACGATGTATATTTCTAGGACTATATGCCAGCCAAGTAGCCATCCAGACAGTCGATCTATTACCTAGTCAAATCATTAAGCCGATTCGTAAACATGAATCTATTGCTAATAAGTTCATCGTCATATGTCAGACGTGTTCTGAACGCCCTATTGCTTTGTACACATGAAGGGAAGGCAACTACAATGAGTTTTCAGGAACATTTTCTATATAAACTAAACCTGATTCTTGGTAGGCAGAAAGATTTAGTGGTTGAGGGGAAAAGATAGACTGCAAACTGCAAGCAATTACTGCAACAGTCGTTGAACTGAACCCTCAAATGTTTTGTTTTGTTTCTTTTGTAGAGAACAACAAATACCCGCAAAATTAGGTATGACAACTGGTGGTTGAAGTGATTCTGAGTTGTAGATGAAGTCGGTTGTATTCTAGTAGTCAGTAAAGTGTCAAGTTAATAAGTCAAAGATGATAGGTTTGTATCCTTTTGTCACTTAGGCTTTTTCATCTTCAGTCATTACATCAGTGTACTGTTTTAAAATAAAAGATCAAAAGTGCTGGTTTAAACTCACTGTTCGTAATGTCTCAGCTGACGTTGTGTAGATTTGTTCATAAAGACTTTTAGTCTCCTGATATAGATATTCAGTCTGTAAACAGAAAGAGAGAAAATTGTAGATGTCGTGATCAGTGAAACAGTGAACAAGAAACAAAATGCACAAAGTGTACATATCATTTTGCTAACTTTCTTGTTATGGTGACTGTTATAGTCCTGTGAGTTCGATTCAGCAGAGAATCTTGTTATTTTCTTCAGGTTTTACTGCAGAGTTATGGTTTCTATTGCATGTGTTGAACTTATTCATTAGTGTTTTCATGTAGCGCTCAAATACTTCCACCCTTTGTGCAAAATCGAATTGTGAATATGACAGAAATAATTCAGTTGGAAAGGTAATCAGAGATTTATTCTATTCAGGCCTCACTCCTTCACTAGGTATCTCTCATGGCATTTCCTCTTAATCAGTCAATCCTGTAAGAAGTATCAGAGCTGTATCCTGTGTACTTTGTGACTTATTGTCATGGTATTTCATCAGCTGCTATAAGCTCAGTCTGAAGCAGTATCCTGGTATTCATCCCACCAGTTAGCAGTTCCTGTGTTTTTCTACAATCAGAATTATTATTATCGTCAGGGATCTCCAGCTAGTATTTCCAAGTAACTAGAGTGTTATCATACAACTGTGTTTTGCTCACTTTGCGTGGATTTCTCACTTATCATAATCGAGTATGATTTCAACAAACACTTTGTCATATTCGGGATTTGTCGGAATAGTTGGCCTGAATTTAAGAGTCAAAACAGGACATAGGATTGAGGGAAAATCATGTATTTGAAGTCATCTGTTCCACAAAACTAGAATGCTTAGTTAGTAAGTAGGTATGGTTGATGAATTTATACGCAGATCTATATGTTTACTGAATTCACGTGGTAGGCTGTCCTCCATAATTCAACCACACATGTTTACTCATAATAACTTTTGAATGCTGTAGTGAAATTCAGGTAGGTAAGATATTCAGAAACTGGCTCCTTCATTCTATGGTGCAAACAGTGAAACCGCCTTACTATTCCATTTTGTTTTAATCAAGTCTAAGACAGTTTTACATATCTTTTATATTAATGTCAATCATATAACCTAGCTCGAACACAAACAATAATACGCTTATCTTTTGTAGGTAGAGTTGACATTTTTATCAACTAGTCCTCAGAATATTTTGTAGCTCCTTACCTACTTATTTACATACTTACTTATTGAATAATTGAGCATTTTGAAGACAGAATAAGAATGTTGATGTATGCATGCTATACCAACTAATTAAGTTGTGAACAATGTGTATAATTATTATGATGATGAAAACGTGAAAGAGGAGAGGGAGTACACAAATCAGTCATATTGTTCAGGAGAAAAATTCACTTTCGTTTGCATTTATTGCTGTGCATATGGAGTGGATAAGTAAAGTAAATGTCACTGCCTTCATCTAGACACTTACGTCGTAAATATCGTAGATTGTTATTGTATACGACAAAAACAATACTGTAAAAACCTTTATCATACTTTTATTTCACTAACCAGACTAACAAGAATTATATTGGGTTGAACGAAAAGAAGAGGATTTTAATACATTTCATTCGAAGTTCTTATGAATTTCCCTTTATCTACACAAATAAATTCTCGTGATGCATGATGAATGAATGTAGAAATGATGAGACTTGCGATTCAGTGCTGTTAAATGCAAATTTTCTCATAGGCGAGATATTGACACATGTTTGACAAATTGAACTTACTTCTTCTTATACTTTATAGTCCACATGACCTTTGGACCGGTCTGCCTCAAATTTTTCCACCCTATCTGCATATGTATGCTTATTCCAACAACCGACATTATTTCACACTTATAACGTCATGCCAACTTCTGCCTCTTTTCTAACGTCAAATTAGTCATCCCTTCTAGGCTGTACCTTACATTACGTAATGAATGTTTCGAGAACAAAGTTTACCAGTATCCAGACGGTCTAATGATTTCTTAGTTAGATATAAATACGATTGTACATGAATCGTCGTAGAGAGAATTCTCTTCGCTGTTTACGTCTTTTCTTACGACTGAGTAATATTAAGCACCTGAGTCATTTAAAACTCATTGATATAATAATAAATTGAAGATGAGAGAGTTTCCAAAACCTAACTTCATCATTTCGAAAGTCTAAAATCTTAAGTCGACCGATTGAGGAAATGCAGTTTTCCATTTTAAAAAGATTACAGGTTAATCTGAAACATTCCTAAGCACATAATCATCTCAAAACTGTACACTTACCATACTGATACTGGTGTTGCTAACTTCCGCTGCGTCCACAACCTGCGTAACAGCTAATATAAAGAATGCAAGGTAGACATTAAGATTGATATGTTAGGGTTAAAACTGTGCATTCACTTCTGATAGCTTAAAACACAAATGATAAAGCATCTTTACCACTATCGTTCAGTCCACATTCATAATTGTGTAAAACTGTTGGCCTACTTAAAATTTGCAAAGTAGTATACTTCAACCGATTCAAATATGTGCAATCACAGTGTTACTAGATTACAGAATATCTCGTTAATTTCAACATGGACCAGAAGCATAGACAAAGTTGTAGTACATTGAAACAGTTGTCTCTCCACAGAATAAACAAAGTGCATCTCGTATAGAAATCATAATTGGTAAGAAATGCAGCCTACTAAAGCCAAGCTTATTTTCCATTTATCCGTGTTAATCGTCATCCCTAAAGGCCAGAATACGTGGAGTTTGTGTTATAAAACAGTGCCGACTCAATAAATATTGGAAATCCGGTAGAACTGGACACTGTTACTCTTCATGTTAGAGACTCGAATGTTATTTGGAAATCCAGCCCCCGTGAGTGAAGTCTTCTACCTAGTATTTCACCACTCGTTAACTGTGGTGGAATCATATATCCCATGGTTACCGTTCAAAGCTATAAGTTAGTGAGCATTTCAAACTTTGAACTAGAAAGCTCTACAGAGCATCATAGTTTTATGTGGTCGCTTAGCTGATATGAATTTCTAACAAAAGTGTTGTGAAATCGGTTGACTTATGTGGCTGCGAGCGATTCGTCATGCAATAGTCACTTATGGTTTTACTACATGATGAACACTGTTTCTCGTCGTCTTCCCTGTGCTTATCATGCAGAAACTGATCAACAATTTACCTGAGAGCACATGAATGTCATTTGACGCTCATAAGCTGAATTAAATTATCTAAGATCCTCACACAGTATCATATTATTTAATTTCTTTTTCATCATAATACTGCTTATTTTATTCCTTCGGTGTTGATATAGTGAAGAATTTAGAAGCACCGAAACTTATTTCAAGATACCTTCTCGGACATCTAGGTGACTGACTGATCAAGCAGTCAGTTGAATCAACAAGTTGTCCTACACAAAAACTGTTTCCAGAACTGATTTGCAAATTCAACTATCAGGCTCTTCAGTAAGAAGTAGATTGTCTAGTGTGTGTGTGTGTGTCAGAAAGGCCTAATACAACACAGGAACTTCGACACTAATTTGATCAGGACAAATTGTCTTCCGAGGAACTTACCACTTGATTCCTGTATCGTTAATAAATTTCTTCTATTCATATAATGATTTTGATGAAGACTTGAATTATAGTCTCCTTTTCTCTGTATACCGAAACTTGATAGGTCCCTTTGACTGGACCCCAATAGGCCTTCAACGATCACTGGAGTTTCATGAGTTAGAGAGTTTATAGAAGCCGTGGAAAAATTGGAATTGTTGCTTGTACTTGTTGTAGTCGTGCCATAAATCGGTGTGGATTCGAATTCGCTTGAAATTGAGTATTTGGCTTCAGTATCTACAAAATAACCAGGCCATAACAAGCTTCCCGAGGGAAGGCAGTTGTCAACTGGGGGGTTCGTTACTGGTGAGTCTACTTTATCGATCAACCCTTTCTTAGAATGACCACATGACATGTATTCGTAGACGGTGCTGTTGAAATCTGAATCACTTCTCACCTTCTTTAAACTTCCTCGTTTTACCTCAGGTGGCGATATGTATAATGCAGCAAACTCATTTTCGACATCA